GCACATCCTGGGCTTGTAATACTCCCAGAAAACCTCTTGGAGAACCTGTCTGAATTTTGAGGTACCTGTTCATGTCATCAGTTGCCCAGGTTGAGCGTAGTCTAATGAACACCTGCTTTCTGCTTCGCAGTGTATGGCTCAAGGATGCACACAGTAGTGTTGTGAGCTCCCCGAGAACAAAGGCCACATTTTGTCTGAAGGCCTGTCTCCCAGTGGTTGTTGGAAGAGCAAAGGAATGAATAACATTCGTGAGGCTTAACCAGGCATATCTAGGTGGAGAGATTTTGAGGAACACATTTTTTTTGGAAATACTTTTTATATTTGAAGCACTTAAAAAGGAGATGCTGGTGCACATTAATGAGATGAGATAAAGTCGGAAGGAAGTAATTTTGAAGGATTTGGCCGTTGAAAGGCCAGGACTGTTGTTCTCCCTAAGAAGGAGTGCTGGGGTGATGTAGAAAGATTCTGAGGGGCCGGGGTTGAATCCCAGCAATGCCACTTACTGATATATGACCATGGGAGTCATTTCACTTCTGACCCTCATTCCTCATCTGTTACAAATGGGTATAGTCCCCTCCTTATAAGATTATTGTGAAGATTAAATACATAATGTATATGAAATTATATAACACAGTCCTGACAAAGCAGCTTTTTGGTAATTACTAGTTTCTTCCTTCCTGCTCTATTTATTTACTTTGCCTGATTGTATTGCTAGGAGTCATTACTTGCAATGTTATCGGCCTGGTGGTTTTCATACATTCAAGAAATTCTCATAGCCTCTTAGTTTGAACATAAATTAATAGATTTTTAGAGCTGGAATGACTTTTGGGAAACTCAGGCTCAAAGAAGTAAGCGATGTTTCACACTGATTAAAAGTAACGTTGGGAGTAAAACAGGCCCCTGGACTGTCCTTCCCACTCTACCAAGGTTATTGGTGATGCTTTTTTCTGTTATGATGGGCGTGGACATGTAAAATACGTGATCTGTTTTTATGTTGACTCTTTAAGTCTTTGGAGAGCTATTTTGTAAAATAAAGCTTAAGGTAATTTAACAATGGGTAAGCTCAGTTTCTATGGTGAACCATCATTGTGAAAGTTCACCTCATCTTGTAGTAGATAACGAAACCCATTGGAGAAGTCAGCCTGGAAGACTTGAAGTCTAGAGTCTGGATGCTAGTGTCTGCCCTTAATTAGCTAGGTATCTGTGGGCAGATCTCTTCATCTTTTGTAAAATGAGAAAACTGGATTCAGTGATTACTAAATTCACTTTTAGCTTGAAAATTTTATGATTTTATAACTTTAAAAGTAAAATCTCATAAAAGATCCCCTGAGTTTTCCAAGAGGACCAGAATTCACATTTCAGGGTGTTTTTTTTTTTTTTTTTTTTTTTTTTTTGACAAGCATTGAGTTGATTGAGGAGCTAAAAGTAATCAAGAACGGGTAGGTAGTGGCACAGTTGTTAAGTGCTTGGCGGCTAACTGAAACGTCAGCAGTTCAAACCCACCAGGCACTCTGTGGGAGAAAGGTGTGGCAATCTGCTTCTGTAAAGATTACAGCCTTGGAAACCCTATGGGACAGTTCTGCTCTGCTCTATAGGGTCGCTATGAGTAGGAATCACTGCATTGCAACGAGTTTGGTTTGGTTTGAGGGGAGGTAGGGTAGTACCACTGAATGGTAATAGTCCTTTGTGTTACAATTTTTAAGGTGGTGAATCTTATACTTTGAGCTAATTTACCTTTGTATTTTGGAAAATTAAAAATTTTGAAGACTAACTTTGATGTGGTCCATATTCTAGGATAATATGCTTCTAGATTTTCCTGAAATTTATCTACGCCTCAAATCTAGATATTTACTTTGTTTGATCTCTTGTGACTCCTCTCTGTCTGTTTTGTAAGAGGCACAGGACAGGACATTTGGGTGGAGGCGTGGGATGGATCTGTTTTACTTCTAAAAGCATTTAGGATAATCTTACCATACAAAGAACACTTAAAAAAAATCAAGAACAAGAAAAATAACAACAGACCAGTAGAAAAGAAATAGGTGCTTTATTAAAAAGGATGACACGTGGACTCTAAAACATCTGAGACAGTGGTAAAGAGTGCAGACTCTACTCCAGATTGTTGTCAGTTGCTGTCAATTCCGACGCATGGTGACCCCATGAGTGCAGAGTAGAACTGCTCCATAGGGTTTTCAAAACTCTGACCTTTCAGAAGCAGATTGCCAGGCCTGCCTGCGAGATGCCTTTGGGTAGGTTTGAACCGCCAACCTTTTGGTTAGTAGTCCAGTGCTTAACCATTTGTGCCACTCAGGGACTCCTCTAAAACATCTGAAACAGGGTGATGAAACGTGCAGACTCTGACTCCGGAATAACTAAACCAAACCTGTTGCTGTCAAGTTGATTCTGACTCACAGCAACCCTGTAAGATAGAGTAGAACTGCCCCATAGGGTTTCCAAGGAGTGGCTGGTGGATTCAAATTGCCAACCTTTTGGTTAGCAGCTGAGATCTTAACCACTGTACCACCAGGGCTCCACCTCCAGAATACCTGGATTCAAATCCTGGCTCTGCCGCTTACTAGTTCAGCATATTTTAAAGATCTCTCTGTCTCTATTTCCTTATCTGTAAAGTGAGAGATAAATTAATAAATGTAAAAGTATTGAACAATGTTTGACACGTAATGAGTGCTCAGTAAGTATTAGTTGTTATTTTTGTATTATTGTATTTTTTTAACGTGATGCCCAGCCTCACTCATAATGAGAAAAATGGAAGTCTAAAAAAAGGCTGAGGTACCATGAGAATACTCTGTGGGGTCAAGGTATGAGTAAAGAGGTGCTGCAGACAAGGATGGTTATTTTGTATATTGCTACTACTTCATTAGAGGAGAGTTTGAAATAGCTATTAAAGCTTAACATAGCTGTTAGATTTTGACCCAGCAATTCCATTACTAGGAATTTCTTAGAAATTTATGTATGAAAAAAGACATACATATACAAAGATATTCATTATAGTGTTACTCATGCTAACAAAAGATTGGGAATGACTCAAATGTCTCTCAGTAGAAAACATAAATTATTAAATCCATGTAATGGAATACTATTGAAAAGAAATTAAGTAAGCCTGCATGTACTAATATAGGATGCTTTCTAAATGTGGGGGTTGGGGGTTGGAAGCTTTCATTTGTGTTTCTGTGTTTAAAGATATCTTTAAATATATACACACACACATATATAATGCCTGTATAATAGACACCATCTCTGGTAGGAATCACAAACAACTGGTAACTATGGTTGTGTTTGAGGAGAGGATCAGGGAGGAATGGTAGAGAGACTTTCCTGTACCTTTTTATACCATTTGAAACACATTTTTTCTTAACCATGTTCATGTGTTACTTTTTTACTGTCCTTCAAATCTTTTACCTGTCTCCACCAACACACACACGCACACGTGCACATGCATGCAACAACATACATGGTGTGCACACATGCACATACCAACACATGCATGCACATACATACATGTGTACGTGCATGCAGCAGCATACATACACGGTGTGCGCACACACATGCACATACTAACATATACATGCACACGCACATGTCTGAACGTTCAAATGTTATTCTAGGAGTCTGGCTGTGTAGTGACAGGGAAGAGCCTGACCTGATGATGTTTAATGCTTATTGAATATGTGATATGATACTTGGGGCTGATAGCATTCTTGTTAGCATGTTGGTGCTGATAGGAAAACTCTCCTCTGGATGATAGAAACTGAGGTTTTGGCTAAGTATGCTCAAGCCTGGAGGCTCTCTTCATAGGTGTTATAGGGGCTGGAGCTTGACAGACTCTGGGCTTGAATCTTCCTCTCTTGGCTATTTTTAGAGGTCCAAGAAGAAAGTGGAAACCCTGTGGCATAGTGGTTAAGAGCTGTGGCTACTAACCAAAAGGTCAGAAGTTTGAATCCACCAGGCGTTCCTTGGAAACCCTATGGGGCAGTTCTGCTCTGTCCTATAGGGTCGCTATGAGTCGAAATTGACTCCATGGCAATGAGTTTGTTTGTTTTTTTTTTTTAAAGAAGAAGGTGGGTAGGAAGGAACTTGAAGATTCTCTTCCTCATTAGGAAACCCTGATCGCATTTATCAACTGTTTGGTTCCATTTCTGTTTCCAGAAGGGAGTGCCAGACTGGAAATGTACTTGGCACTGCGGGATTTTAACTCAGTAGACCCCTGGAATTTCTTGAAATACTTTTTAACCTGAGAAGAACTGGAGTCGTGACTGGGATTCTTTGCATAAGACTCCTTAACCAATGAATGTTCAGAGCTTTATGGAAATGTATACATTCCTCTACTTTTTATAGGGTGCTATTTAAGCTAATTGTGACTTGCATGAAGGCTGTAGTCATCAGCTGTAACACGAACATTAGGGTGAATTGTCTTATCCTTGTTCACATAATAACTTTTCTCAATGTGACATGAAATATGGTCTATCTGTAGAAAATACGACCATAGAAATTAGGACTAAAATACAGTACTTCTTTTTTTTTTATAATGGTTTCATCCCAGTAAGTCTTAGGCTAGTGCTTCTTAATATTTGTCCTACTGCAGCCTATCTAAGAGATGACACATTGCTGTCATCATCAGTGGCTCAGTATGGCAGTGATTTTCTATAAGGAATGGAGTGTTTCAGGGTATACTGGGAGAGGTAGTGAATAGTGGGGACACAGAGGTAGTGATTTCTGATTTTTATATCACACACACACACACACACACACACACACACACACACACACATACACACACACACACATTTTTCCTAGAGAATTAACTGTCTTAGACACACTAGTGTGTGATAAATACTTGAGGAGAGACCCTAATTTCATCCAGTTTACATGTGTTCTCTTTATTACCTGCTGTCTGGTTGGGTGTCAGTGTATAGGTCACAGATAAGTGCCGACTTGCCACCGGGCAAGAGAAGCAATTGGTTCTAGCAAATTGTTCCTCTCCTTAGATGTAAAGGCCCAGATTCCAAGGTGGAGGAAGGATTGAGCATATTGCTGGGTGAAGTGTGTGATCCATTTAACCAAAGGTAGATAGTTTAGTCTTGAATTAGCTTTTGTTAACTTTTATTAACAGTGTCTTTTTTAGTTTAATGGATATTTATTTTTTTCTTGGAACCCTTCTTGCTTGGTAGGGCAGAGATGTCGGCTGATTTGTAGGAATTGCTTGAAACCAGAGTCATGGTGGATGTAGGAAAGTGGCCCATCTTCACTCTGCTCTCACCTCAAGAAATTGCATCTATTCGGAAAGCATGTGTCTTTGGCACTTCAGGCAATGAAGCACTGTATGTTACTGACAATGATGAGGTAAGAATCTCTCCAAACTTAGAGTTTAGTTTTAGGGATTATTTTGGGGTTGGGCTTTGAACTTTGAAGAGAAAAAAAAAAAGTGCAAAGCATGCACTTTGAAAAAGAGAAGGATAAAAGGAACCTGAAGTTCAGAAAGACTGCCTTTGATATAATTTTTTCTTCCAGTTTCTTGATTTAACACTCCTCCATCCCCTACTTCCCTTTGAGTTTTGTAGTATAGCCAAATATTGTAAAACTTAACTAATGTCAGCAGAGGTTGAATTTTTCTTAACAAATTTATCTTGTCAGTCTCTCCTTAACCTTTCCAACTGTCAGACTGAGCTTGAGCATGTCTTATTTTCATAGTGGAAAAGGGAGCCTTTAATATAACTTTAGGCCAGATGATTCAGACAAAACTATTTGTTTTCTAGGTGTTTGTATTTGGAATGAACTATAGTAACTGTCTGGGGACTGGAGATAATCAGAGTACACTTGTACCCAAAAAGCTAGAAGCCTTATGTGGAAAGAAGATTAAAAGCCTTAGTTACGGGAGCGCACCACATGTTCTCCTCAGCACTGAAGGTAAAGAGGGAACAAATCCAGCTTTTCAGTGTTTGGGAACTTGACCATTTAATTCTAAGCTAAGGGGAGGTCTGGCTGTATGAATTAATTTTGGATTGTCTGTTTCTTAATTTCTGAGCGGAAGAACACAAAGCAGGTAAAAGTTAAACACATCAGGTTGACTCTGGAACAGCCATGGGATGTCTTGCAAATCAGGCAAACTTCTCAGGTTTTAGACTACTTAGGTAAAGTCTGTCACTCGTCTGTCACCATTCATCTGTCAGTTTGTCATACTGTGGTGGCTTGCGTGTTCCTGTGATGCTGGAATCTATGCCACTGGTATTTCAAATACCAGCAGGGTCGCTCATAGTAGACAGGTTTCAGCAAAGCTTCCAGACTAGGACAGACAGGAAGAAGGACCTGACAGTCTACTTCTGAAAAAATTGGCCAGTGAAAATCTTAGGAATAGCAGCGGAACATTGTCTGATAATAGTGCTGGAAGATGAGCTCCTCAGGTTGGAAGGCACTCAAAATACGACTGGGGAAGAGCTGCCTCTTCAAAGTAGCGTTGACCTTGATGTCATAGATGGAGTCAAGCTTTCGGGACCTTCGTTTGCTGAGGTGGCACGACTCAAAATGAGAAGAAACGGCTACAAACATCCATTAATAATCAGAATGTGGAATGTACGAAGTATGAATCTAGTAAAATTGGAAGTTGTCAGGAATGAAATAGAATGCATAAACATTGATGTTCTAGGCATTAGTGAGCTGAAATGGACTCGTATTGGCCATTTGGAATCAGGCAATCATATGGTCTGCTATGCCAGGAATTACAAACTGAAGAGGAATGGCATTGCATTCATCGACAAAAAGAACAGTTCAGGATCTATCCTGAAGTACCACATTGTCAGTGATAGGATAATATCCATATGCCTACAAGGAAGACCAGTTAATACAACTATTATTCAAATTTATCCGCCAGCCATTAATGCCAAAGATGAAGAAGTTGAAGATTTTTACCAACTTCTGCATTCTGAAATTGATCAATCATGCAATCAAGATGCATCAGTAATTATTGCTGACTGGAATGTGAATGTTGGAAACAAGAAGGATCGGTAGTTGGAAAATATGGCCTTGGTGATAGAAACGACTCTGGAAATTGCATGGTAAAATTTTGCAAGACCAACAACTTATTCATTGCAGATACCCTTTTTTCAACAACGTACCTTCTGAATAGCAGCGAGTATACACGTGGAGCTTGCTGGATGGAATACACAGGAATCAAATCAAGTACACCTGTGGAAAGACACAATGGAGAATCTCAATATCATCAGTCAGAATAAGGCAAGGAGCAGACTGTGGAACAGAACATCAGTTACTCATATGCAAGTTCAAGTTGAAGCTGGAGAAAATTAAAACAAGTCCACGAGAGCCATAGTATGACATTGAGTATATTCCATCTGAATTTAGAGACCATCTTAAGAATAGATTTGACACATTGAACACTAATGACTGAAGACCAGTCGGGTTGTGGGATGACATCAAGGACATCATACATGAAGAAAGCAAAAGGCCATTAAAAAAGACAGGAAAGAAAGGAAAGACCAAAATGGATGTCAGAAGAGACTTTGAAACTTGCTCTTGAATGTAGAGCAGCTGAAGCAAATGGGAGAAATGATGAAGTAAAAGAGCTGAACAGAATATTTCAAAGGCTGGTTTGAAAGGATGAAGTATTATAATGAAATGTGCAAAGACCTGGAGTTAGAAAACCAAAAGGAAAGAACATGCTCAGCATTTCTCAAGCTGTAAGAACTGAAGAAAAAAGTCAAGCCTCAAGTTGTGATATTAAATGATTCTACAGTCAAAATATTAAACGATGCAGGAAGCATCAAAAGGAGATGGGAGGTCACTGTACCAGAAAGAATTGATTGATGTTTAGCCATTTCAGGAGGTAGCATATGATCAAGAAATGATGGTACTGAAGGAGGGAGTCCAAGCTGCGCTGAAGGCATTGGCGAAAAACAAGGCTTTCAACAAACGAATGCAGTGCTGGAGATGGCTCACTCGTCTATGCCAAGAAATTTGGAAGACAGCTACCTGGCCAACTGACTAGAAGAGATCTATATTTGTGCCCATTCCAAATAAAGGAAATCCAACAACTGCAGAAATTATCGAACAATATCATTAATATCACACACAAATAAAATTTTGCTGAAGATCATTCGAAAGCCTTGCAGCAGTGTATCGATAAGGAACTGCCAGAAATTCAACCCAGATTCAGAAGAGGACATAGAACAAGGGATATCATTGCTCATGTCAGATGGATCTTGGCTGAAAGCAGAGAATACCAGAGGAATGCTTACCTGTGTTTCATTGACCATGCCAAGGCATTCAGCTGTGTGGATCATAACAAATTATGGATAACATTGCGAAGATGGGAATTCCAGAACACTTGCGCTCATGTGGAACATGAACATAGATCAAGATGCAGTTGTTTGAACAGAACAAGGGGATACTGTGTGGTTTAAAGTCAGGAAAGGAGTGCATCAGGGCTGTAGCCTTTCACCATACTTATTCAGTCTGTATGCTGAACAAATAATCTGAGAAGCTGGGCTACAAGAGGATTGGAGGAAGACTCATTAACAACCTGCAATATGCAGGTGACATAACCTTGCTTGCTGAAAGTGAAGAGAACTTGAAGCACTTAACTGATGAAGATCAAAGACGACAGCCTTCAGTATGGATTACACTTCAACATAAAGAAAACAAAAATCCTTACAGCTAGACCAATAAACAACATCATGATAGGCAGAGAAAAGATTGAAGTTCCTAAGGATTTCATTTTACTTGGATCCATAATCAACACCCATGGAAACAGCAGTCAAGAAATCAAATGACGTATTGTATTAGACAAATCTGCTGCAAAAGACCTCTTTAAAGTGTTAAAAAGCGAAGATGTCACTTTAAGGACTCAGGTGTGCGTAACTCAAGCCATGATATTTTTGATCACCTCATATGAATGCGAATGCTGGACAATGAATGAGGAAGACCAAAGAAGAATTGATGCCTTTAAATTATGGTGTTGGTGAAGAATATTGAATACATAGCATGGACTGCCAGAAGAACAAGTCTGTCTTGGAAGAAGTACAGCCAGAATGCCCTTAGAAGCAAGGATGGTGAGATGCTGACTCGTGATCTTTGGACATGTTATCAGGAGGGACCAGTCCCTGGAGAAGGACATCATGCTTGGTAAGTAGAGGATCAGTGAAAGAGAGGGAGACCCTCAACGAGATGGATTGCCACAGTCGCTGCAACAGTGGGCTCAAACATAGCAATGATTGTGAGGATGGTACAGGACTGGGCAGTGTTTCATTCTGTTGTACATAGGGTTACTATGAGTCAGAACCAACTCAGCGGCGCCTAACAACAACAACAATTTAAAGTTATGGAAGATCATATGTAACAAATGAAGTGATCATTTCCACCCTGACTTTTCCGTGGATTTTTGGTAGCAAGGTAACTTTCAAGTTTTCTTTGTACGTTTTTCTAAACACAGATAATACTGGTTTTCCTTTCTTTGTGTTGTTCCTGAATCTTGAATCTGAAACATCTTATTCCCTGGCGTTCATGTGGGTACCATTATGGAAAGAGTGGGGGATATGGGTAGATAGAGTCCTCTGCTTTTTTTTTTACCACTCCAAGACTACTGAAGAAGGACACTATGCATTTTTCTTTGGTAATTTGTCTGCACTTTTGGCAGTCACCACTCTCTGAAAGCTATAACCTGAATTCTTGCTCTTAAATTGTAGGCACGTAGAGGTTGCTCTTTCTTCAGTAGACACCCTCAGCTTTTTCTTGGGTAATCTTCTAGGGTGACATCTGGGAGACAGCATAGGTCTTAGACTGGGTTCTAGAGAAGCAAAATCATTGCAGCATATATATATATATATATAGAGAGAGAGAGAGAGAGAGAGAGAGGTTTATATAAAGGGAATGGCTCACATGGTTGTAGAGGCTGGAAAGTCCCAAGTTCATGGGTTAGGCTGGATGCTTCTCCTCACTCACATAGCCACAGATGCCGGAGAATCCAAGATTGGAAAGCCAGAAGGCAGGTAAGCTGCTAGCTCAGGTCCCAAGAACTGGAGATCAGATAGCAGGAGGCAGCTGCAGGATCAAGAGTGAGCAAAAGCCAGCAAGCTTTGCCAGAAAGTCCACCTATATTGGATATAGGCCACACCCCCAAGGAAACTCCCTTTCAGCTGATTGGCTGCTTATGACAGATCTCATCAGGGAGGTGATTACATCACTAAAAAGCTACCAGACTACATCATAACTACAAAATCACTGAGGATCATGGCCCAGCCAGGTTGACACAACTTTAACCATCACAGCATGCTTCAGTGGCTTTCTGTCTCTAGACCGGGGAATTATGTCTTCTTTGGATGCTGCCATAGTTGTTAGTATTGAGCCCTGGCGGTGCATTGGTTAAGCACTCGGCTGCTAACCCTAAGGGTGGTGATTCGAACCCACCAGCTGCTCCATGGGAGAAAGATGTGGTAGTCTTCTTCCGTAAAGATTACGGCCTTGGAAGCTGTGTGGCGCAGTTCTACTCTGTCCTATAGGGTTACTACGAGTCAGAATCCACTTGATGGCAACGGGTTTGGTTTGGTTTTAGCTGATATCTGAATGTACTTCAAGTTCTTTACATCTTCTCAAGCTGTGAGATCCAGATCTGAGCATAATCGTCTAGTAAGAATGTAACTGGTATTGAGCATCCTGAGATGATGATCTCACTTCTGCGTTGTGTAATCATGTTTTCTGTTGTTACACTGGCTCTTTCAAACAGTTAGTGCATTACTGACTGGTTCAGCTTGTCATCCATTGTGACCTGAGGATTTAAGTTTTTCCCAGTGTGTTTCAGTTTTCTTTTTAAATTTTATTGTGGTAAAATATGCATAACAAAAAGTTTGCCATCTTAGCCATTTTTAAGTGTACAATTCATTGACATTCATTGTATTCATCATGTTGTACTCTTGTCACCACTATCCATTTCCACATTTTCATCACCCCAAACAGAAACTCAGTGCTCTCAGTAATGCCTCCTACTTCCTCCTACCCAGCCTCCGGTAACCACATACACACTTATGTGTCTATGCACTTGCCTGTTCTAGATATTTCATACAAGTAGGATAAAACATTATTTGTCCTTTTGTGTATGATTTGTTTCACTCATAGTGTTGTCAAGGTTCATTCATGTCATACCATGTATCAGGACTTCATTTCTCTTTATGGCTGAATAATATTCCATTGTATGTATGTACCACATTTTATTTATCCTCCCATTGATGGACACTTGGTTTGTTTCTACTTTGGGGTATTGTAAATAATGCTACAGTGAACATTGGTGTACAGGTATCTGTTTATGCCTCTGTTGTCAAGTCTTTTGGTTATATACCTAGGATTAGAATTGCTGAGTCATATGGTAACTCTATGTTTAACTTTTTGAGGAACCTCTAAACTATTTTCCACATTGGCTGTACCATTTTACATTCCCACCAGCAATGCATGAAGGTTCCAATTTCTCCACATCCTCTTTAACATTTGGGGCAGTTAAACTCTGTCACATGGCATTGCTGTGAGTTGGAGTCAACTTGAGGGCACCTAACAACCTTTCCCTTGGTTGCTTGGGGACTATTGTCAGTGAGCCAGCAAACTCAGAATAACATTCAGGTTTCTACTGTTGCTGTTCGCTGTCTGTTGTTGTTGGGTCTGTATTGTCTGAAATAGGTCAGGATGTTTTGTAACCGTGCGAAAGACATGGGAAGAGTGGACACCTCTGGGGGACCTGATCTTGATACTCATGCATGCAGTGGGGGAGATGTGTGAAACGAGAGAATGCAAGGCAGAAAAGTTACCTCTCTCAGAAACACTAAAAGGTGGTCGACTGAAAAAATGCAGCCATAGTTCATGCCATTAAAATAGTTTGTTTCAGAGGAGCTCTGTGTTTTTTGTTTCCCTTGGAAATAATATACCTCCTTTTTTTTTAAAAAAAATGTTTTACTGCGTTTTAGGTGAAAGTTTATATAGTAAATTAGGTTCCCGCTTGCAGTTTTTATACAGCTTGTTCCATAACATTGGTTACATTTTTCACAAAGTGTCAACATTCTTATTATTTCCATTCTTTTTGTTCTGTTTCCATTAATCTTGCTACCCTGCCCCCTCCTTAGCTTCTTATCTTTGTTTTAGAGTAAATGCTGACCGTTTGGTGTCATATAGTTGATTATTTCATTACAGTATTCACAGTTAATATTGTTTATTTTCTGAGTCTATTATTTGGATGAAAGGTGGGTTCAGTTCTAAGTTCAGAGGGTATCTTAGGGTGATAGTCTCTGGGGCTCCTCTAGTCTCTATTGGTCCAGTAAGCCTGGCCTTCTTTTAGGAATTTCAGTTTTGTTTTACATTTTTCTCCTTTCTATCCAGGACCTTCTGTCGTGTCCCTGGTCAGAACAGTCAGTAGTGGTAAGTGGGCACCATCTAGTTCTTCTGGTCTCAGGCTAGATGAGGCTGGGGTTCACATGGGCTACTAGTTTCTTCTTTGAGTCTGGTTTCCTTTATTCTCTTTTGTTCCAGATGAGTAGAGATCAATATCTTAGATGGCCGCTCGCAAGCTTCTAAGACCCCAGACGCTACTAACCAAACTAGGATTTAGAACATTATCTTTATGAACTATGTTGTGCCAGTCGACAGAGCTGTCCCACAAGACTATGGTCCCAAGCCTTCAAACACAGTAAACCAATCCCATGAGGTGTTTGGTTATGTCTAGAAAGTACCCATAACTGTACCCCCTGTGTGGTTTATTGTATATATGAATATATATGCAGCGCATGTAAACGTGTATACATACGCCTACAGATACGCTTGTACATGCACACCCATATACTCACGTGTCTTCCTATACATATATATGCATATATGTCGACCTGTGTAACCACACACATATTTCTTCGGTTGTTGTTATTGTTGTTGCAAAATTATATGTTTTAGCATTTACTGAAGTTGTCCCTTATTCTTGGGTACTTCTTAGTGTCTTCATTTATCTTGGACAGGTTGTGCAGACTTCACCGGTATTGGCTATTGCTTTTCTCATCACCAAAAATAATAAATGTCTGCTATCTAGAAAGTGATTCCTTCTGCCTTCCCCTCCCCTCCCTGGTAACCATCAAAGAACATTGCTTTCTGTGTGTATACCTATTCTTGACTTTTTATAAACGTGAGACCAAACAGTATGTGTCCTTTTGTGATTGACATATTTTACTCTGCATAATGTCCTCCAGATTCATCCATGTTATATAAGATGTTTTGCAGGCTCCTCATTATTCCTTATAGTTGCGTAGTATTCTATTGTGTGTATGTACCACAATTTGTTTATGTGTGCATCTGTTCATGGGCACTTAGGTTGTTGCATCTTTTTGCTATTGTGAATAATGCTGCAATGAACATGAGCGTGTTTATGTCTATTTGTGTCACTGCTTTTGTATCTAGGATATATACCTAGGAGTGGGATTGCTGGATCGTAAGGTATTTCTAATATACCTCTTTTGTACTTTGTGAGTGAGTTTGTGTGAGACAGACAGACAGACACACACCAAGAGTTCTTTGAGATTTGGTGTTTGGTAAAGTGATGGTAAAGATTAGTTTTGAGCTTTCCTGTATCTTCTGCCTTTTGCTTGGTACTTGAAACAAAAACTGTTGAGATCAATCATAATGTTTAGGCAGTCCAGTTTTTGTATACATAAACTTTTGACTTCTGACCACGAGCTGATCTTCTTTCTAATGTCAGAACGAAGTCCATACATTAAAAGTTTTGTGTCTGTCTATCCTGTTCTGTCATCCATCCCTCTCTCCCTCACCCCTAGTCAGTGCTTACTTTATAGAGAGACGAGGGCAATGTGAGGGAAATTAATGTTGGAATATGAGTCGCACAAAGTTGTGGGACGAAAGGACAGGCTAACATTTCTTTTTGGAGCTGATTCTTTGTGTGACCATTTTGTGTAGATGGAGTTGTTTACGCCTGGGGCCACAATGGATACAGCCAGCTTGGGAATGGGACGACCAACCAAGGTATTGCTCCTATCCAAGTCTGTACCAATCTCCTGATCAAGCAAGTGGTTGAAGTGGCTTGTGGCTCACATCATTCCATGGCTCTGGCAGCTGATGGAGAGGTAAGTGCCCTGCTTTTAACAAAATAAAATCATGACCATATTTGTGCTTGGTACAGTGTGAACATAGTAGCACTGTGTATGTAACTAAAAGCATTGTGGAAATACACTCTTTCTCTATCATAACCTATGATATGTCATAGAATGTCATCAGAACCTCTCCTTTGATGACAGTAGAATTAATTTAAGGCAGTTGAGTCTCATACTCTTTGCTATGACTGCAAATCAGATGTGTATGACAGTGTTGTATACTTCTATTTTTCATGGCCCCACTGATTAAGGTCTGTTTTGTTATTCAGTAGATGTAATGAATTCTCTGTTGTAGAAAATAACCTCACCAACATTCTAGTTACCTATACTACCTGCTCACCCACACGTGGTTATCTTAAAGGTTACTCACCCTATGAGTTCTGCCTTCGAATCTCTTGTATCATTCTGTTCATCTCCATCACCTTAGGTCAGGCTTTGTCATCTCCTGCCAGGACTTTTGCCGCAGTCTTTCTGTTTTTCCCCATAGCTTTTTAATTAGTCTGTGGAATTGATTTGATGGCAATGGGTTTGATTTTTTTGTCTAATCTTATTCTCTGTGATTGCTGAAATGCAAATCAGATCATACTGTTCCCCTGTTTTAAAAGTCCTTCAGTGTTGTTACAGTGATCTCACTAAGTAGAGCAGGTTATAGATGAGGAAACCAGAGGAGTTCAGAGAGATCAAGTGACTTGTCCAGAGGAGTTCAGAGAGATCAAGCGACTTGTCCAAGGTTTCATGTCTGGGGTGTGCTAGCTGAAGCCAGGAAGAGCACCCAGGCGTTATACCTGGAATCCACTGTTTTCCTAGTCCATTTCTTGGTTAGCGGAACCACACTCCCCAGGCTGCATTTCAAGGGAGCTTGGGATGTTTGGGAAGAAGCACCAGAAGACTGTTGAAATTAGAACTTGCTGATTTTTACAGGATGGATCCCTGGTTTATTTTAACCTTAAGCATATGCTACTTCGGCTAATTGTGCTAAATGTTTTTATTATGAAACTAGATGTTCCTGTGAATACACTTTCAGGAAGTTGTTGCAGGTTATTTTTTATTTACCTGTGTAATGGACTTGTAGCACATATTCTTTTAAGGCATCTGCCAAGGGTTTTACTGTTGTTTGCCATTGAGGCTGCGTCAGATATTTGAACTGAGATAGGAACTGCTGACAGAGCAAAGAAAGAGTTATGGAAGTGTGTGAGGGCCACTTCCTGCTGGCAAGTGAAGCAGAACTCTGAAACTTCTTCTAGTGCTGGAGGAAGCTATTTCCTCTGCTGCAGAGCTCCACTCCCCACCCTCAAATTCTCCTTTCTGGCCACACTCCTGTTTGATAACATCAGTAGCTAATTGACTTGGAGTTATTTTTTGTTTTGTTTTTATCTTTGTTGCTAGTTTTTAACTAGCTTAGGGATCTGTTTGTGTCCCTCTCCCTTAGGAATCTTTGATTTTCAGGTTATCACAGATAATAGGCCAGAAGTAATCCTGGGATGCAGTTGAGAAGGATGGGGGCTGCTTGAAGCTGACAGGCAGATAGCAAACGAGAACTCAGAGAAAATAGTACCCAGAAAAGCCTAACAATGTCGTGTCCTTTCTGGAGGGACAGATGTCTCCTTAGCACTTGTGAGTTCCATGTTATGACATAGAACTACAGTTGATACTCATGTGGTATACACCTCGGTACCTATTGGTGCCAGATTGAAAAAAAAAATAGCTGCCATCATTATAGAGGCAGTAGAGCACAGTGGTTAAGAATACCGCCAGACTGAGGGCTGTGGGTCCCATGGTCTCAGGGAGCATCTAGCTCAATTGATATAACATTGTTTATAAAGAAAATTTTATACATTCTACTTTGGTGAGTAGTGTCTGGGGTCTTAAAAGCTTGTGAGTGGCCATCTAAGATACTCCACTGGTGTCACCCCATCTGGAGCAAGGGAGAATGATGAAAACCAAAGACACAAGGACTAATAGGCCACAACTACTATGGCCTCCACCAGACTGAGCCCAGCACAACTAGATGGTACCTGGCTACCACCACTGACTGCTCTGACAGGGAGCACAATAGAGGGTCCCGGACAGAGCTGGAGAAAAATGCAGAACAAAATTCTAACTCAAAAAAAAAGACCAGATTTACTGGTCTGACAGAGACTGGAGAAACCCCGAGAATATGGCCCCCGCACACCTTTTTAGCTCAGTAATGAAGTCACTTCTGAGATTCACCCTTCAGTCAAAGATTAGATAGGGCTATAAAACAAAATGAGACTAACTGGGCACACCAGCCCAGGGGCAAGGATGAGAAAGCAGGAGGGGGCAGGAAAGCTGGTAATGGGGAACCTAAGGTAGAGAAGGGGAGTGTTGATGTATATTTTGGGGTTGGCAACAGTGTCACAAAACAATATATTAATTGGTTAATGAGAAGCTAGTTTGCTCTGGAAACCTTCATCTGAAGTACAATTGAAAAAAAAAAAAGAATACAGCCAACTGCTTTGGGTTCAAAATCCATTTCTACTACTTACTAGCTATGGAACCTCAAGCAAATCACTTGCCAGTTTTCTTATATAAAATGGACATGAGAATAGTACGTACCCCAGGGTCACCTTACAGGATTACTGTCAAGATTAAATTGCTTAATGTGTGTAAAGTATTTAGAATCATTTAGAACGTCATACGTACTCCTTAAAAAAAAACAACCAAACAAGTTGCCATTGAGTCACCTCTGACTCATGGTGACCCTGGGTGTTACAGAGTAGAACCGCTTCATAGGGCGTTCTTGGCTGTCATCTTTACAGAAGCAGATCACCAGGCCTTTCTCCCATGGCATCACTGGGTGGGTTCGAACCACCAACCTTTAGATTAGCAGCCTACCGCACATACTTGTGCTATTTATGGACTCCATAAGTACTCATTAAGTGGGTTTATTTTTATTTTATGATTATTATTGTGTGTTAGAGGTAGACTTTTCACCCTTACTATGATTTCTTTTTCTGTTTCCCATCTCTTATGTAGGTATTTGCTTGGGGTTATAATAACTGTGGCCAGGTGGGATCAGGATCCACAGCAAATCAGCCAACTCCTCGAAAAGTTACAAACTGTTTACATATTAAGAAGGTAGTTGGCATTGCCTGTGGTCAGACCTCGTCCATGGCTGTCCTGGACAACGGTGAGGTGAGCCCTCTCTCCATTCCTGTTCCTCTCCCACCTCCCCTTTCCGTGAAATGCCCATGTCTTCATGAGATATGTGGGTTAGTTAGTGGAAGGAAGATAGATGGCTTTGATTTGGTAGCTTCACTGGTAGCTAGCTGGTTACTGACTGCTGAGGGCTAGCCAGACCATGTTCATTCTTCAATAGGAAGTTTTAAAATTCCAAGATTTATCTGCAAGTACATAGTCTAGTCTGTCTCGATTTTATTTTAGTTTTGCAGAATCCAGATAGCCTAACACTCACAGGCATTTGTTTGCAATTTAATGTAGTGGGTTAAAGAATTTGATACCACCTTTCTCTTCTGATGAAAACATCAACTGTGCACTCTTTTAAAAAGTTAGCTGATGATGTTTATAAGCAGTTACTCTGATGGGCAAGGAGTCTTTTTAGAACTACCTGCCTACATCATGAATGTCTGTTCATAGAAGGAAGCAACTGGCAAACGCAGAATTTTTTGTCCTAATTGTTGTTAGCTACATTTGGTGACCCTTCACTTTGGTCAACTTTGAGCTGGTGGTCATTTCTGTGAAGTTACTTCTGGTTACCTCTTCTACTTAAATGGGCCTGTTACCACCCGTGCGTGCCCTAGTGCACAAAAATTATACCAAGATGCTTCTTTTTTAGACAGACTTTAATGGCTTTGTGTATTGAGGTGCTAGGTGCTTTGGAGTTCACCATGCTCACCTTTGTTAACTTATTTTCTGAATCAATCCTGATAACATCCTGGCGAACTTCAGAATTCCTGGGACAGCCACCTAATGTTCTCTATTCCAATATTCTTTAATTCTCCTTTATATTTTAAAATAAAATTAATTTTAAAATTATGTGGTTATTTTAACAAAGGAGTACAAATAAAATATATAAAGTGAAAAGGGAATTCCTTTAAAACATAGTATATAGCTACAGTAATCCAAACAACCTGATACTGGGTAAAGCAGTAGACACATAGACAAATGAAATAGAATTGAGAGTCCAGAAATAAACCCACACATCTGTGGTTAACTGATTTTTGACAAGGATACAAAATCCATTCAGTGGAGTAAGAAGAGTCTCTTCAATAATTGGTGTAGGGAAAATTGAATTTCCACATGCAGAAAAATGAAGCAGGATACATGCCTCATACCATACACAAAAACAAATTCAGAATGGATTAAGGAACTAAATGTGCAAACTAAAATCATAAAATTCTTAGAAGAAAATGCAGGGGCAATGCTGTTGGGCCTAGCCTTTAACAATGGATTATCTAATATGCTGTAATAACAAAAGCACAGACAACAAAAGACAAAATAAATGGGACCTCATAAAAATGCAAAACTTTTGTTCATCCAAAGACTTTACCAAAAAGTGAAAAGACAAGCTACCAACAGGGAGGATATCTTTGGAAACTGTCTGTCTGATAAGAATCTAATAACCAAAATATGTATAAAACTTTGACAGCTTAACAACAAAGAAACAAATAACTATAAAATGGGCAAAGGACTTGAATAGATATTTCACAAAAGAGGAGATTCAGATGGCCACCAAACACATGGAAAGATGTTCAACATCATTAGCCATCAGAGAAATGAAAATCACAACCACAATGAGATACCGTTTCACTCCCACTAGGATGGCCAAAATAAAAAACAAACAAATGAACAAATGTTGATGAGGATGTGGGGAAATTGTAACCTTATCCATTGCTGGTAGGAATGCAAAATAGTACAGCCATTGTGGAAAACAATGTGGCGGTTCTTCAAAAAACTATCATATGACCCAGCAATTCCACTCCTAGGTATATACCCGTAAAACTTGAAAGCAAAGACTCAAACAGAGGCTTGCACACCAGTGTGCATTGCAGCACTATTCACAATAGCCAAAAGGTGGAAACAACCTAAATGCCCATCAGTGGATGAATAGATGAACAAAATGTGGTACATACATACAATGGAATACTTCTCAGCCAGTAGGAGAAATGAAGTCTTGATACATGCTACGGTATGGATGGAGCTTGAAGACATTATGCTAACTGAAATAAGTCAATCACAAAAGGGCAAATATTGTATGACCTCACTTATATAAAAAGACAAGAAAAGGCAAATGTATAGAGACCAAAGTTTATTAGTGGCTACAAGGGGCAGGAGGGAATGGGGTGGGGGAAACTAAAAATGATGGAAAATCACACTGATTAAGGGTATGGATACGCATCCGATTACTGTAATTGCTGTCAATAAGTTGTATGCCTGTAAAAAGTTGAACTGGCGAAAGTGGTGTGATACAGTTACAATAATGACTACAAAAGAAAGAAAAGAGTAGTTGCTGAGGCTGCTTATGTACAACCAAAAACCTCATGGGATTTGGTTCCTTGGTTTGGAGGTTTAGGGTCATGGTTTCATGGGACATTCCAGTTAATTGGCCTAATAACGCGTTTAGTGCTTCTGTTCTACCTCCTTGTTTGTTGCGGATTGCCTAGGGTCTTAAAAGCCTGCAGGCTGCCATCCAAGACACCACAGTCAGTCTGTATTCTCCTGTAGCAACAGAGGAAGGAGGAGTCTCTGGAATAGGAGGAGGATATGGAATGTGTGGCTAATTCCCACCGTGAACAATTAAGAACTGGATGGTTCCTGGCTACCATTTGCTGAACATTTTGATCAAAGATTCTGTAGAGGAATCCTAATCAAAAGGGGTAAATACAGAACAGAATTTCAAATTCTCATGAACTCCAGACTTTCTGGAGCCATGGGGGCTGGATGAACCCCTGAAGCTATTGCCCTGAGATAAGCTTTAAAACTTAAACCAAAAGTATCTCCTGAAGTCTTCTTAAAACCAAGCAATAGTTTAGCTTAACTAGTAAAAAATGCCTGCTTTGAGCATTATGCTCTTTTAAGGGATCAGAGTGACAACAGCAACTTGAAAGATCAGACAGGAACTTTAGGGGGCAGTGAGTTTATGTTAATGAGGGAGGAACAACTCAGAAAAGGAGGGTGAGAATGGCTGCACAGCTCAAAGGATGTCATCAGTGTCACTGAACTGTATGTGTAGAAACTGTTGGTTTGATGTATATTTTGCTGTGTATATTGTTAATAGTGACCACAAAATTTTAAAAAGAAGGAATTCCTTTTCCCTGGTTTTGTTAATAGTTTGATGTATAACCTTTTGGACTTTTCTCTATAAGCGATTACATATGGGTGAGTATAATACCTTTTTTCCAAAAAATGGGATTATTCTACCTCTTGCTTTACTCTGCTGTTCTGCAAATTGTTTCCCTCGTCGCACTGTGCTTCATATATTCTACCTGAATCTGTATCAGCCCGTTTATATCTGTTTTTCATTGCAGTGATTGCTTAGTTTTCCTCAGGTGGCTGACCCCCAGATCTATACTGACGGGCATTTCAGTTGGTTCTCATTTTTTGCTCTTATAAATGATGTTGCACTGATGAACTGTGTTAGTATTTATGTGTGTGTATTTTTGTACACTTAGCAAGTATTTCTGTAGAATAAATTCCTGGGGGTGGCATTTAAAGGTAAAGAGGTATGCCATTAAATTTTTTTTATAGCCTTCACCAAATTTCTCTCTGAAAGTTTGTAGCTGTTAACACTTCTGACATTGAACGAAAGTGTTTTTAACCATCTCTCACTGCATGTGCCCCTTTCCCTGCTATCGCATGGCCCTGAAAATCCCCAGCCTACGTCTGTCTGTCTCTGTGCCCTGTACCTCAGGGGGCTGGGTGCCATCACAAACCCCAGGCTTCTGATTTGAACTAGATCTTTTATCTGTGTGTGTCAGTTCTTTTCCTATCTGCCACACTTGCTCCCGAAACCTTTGAGCCTCCTGTCAAGCCTGTGCTGAGTTGTTACATAGAGCAGATGGCTCTCCTTTCTGATACCAGGGATCACCGCTTCTGTTGGAGCTCCCTCTGTAACTGCTTCCCTGTCCGTCCCCTCGTCCCGCCATCCCTGCTTTAGTTCATTCCCTCTTCAGAGCTCACTTGAGTATTTGCTGAGGAGAGACGAATTTATCTGCTAAATGATCTTCCTGCCTCTAATCTTGCACACTCCAGTCATCCAGCGTGATCTTTCAGAAATGCAGATTTAATCATATTAATCTCTGTTGTGAAATATTTCAGTGGAAAACCTACAGACACATTCCATTTTCCCTGGTATGTTTTCTAGCACCTTGTCCCTGCCTTTCCTTCTAGTCTTTTCTCCTACTACTCTCCCTGATGTGTCCGTCCCCGTCCCCCTACTTGTCTTCTGAACCTACCTCTCACACGTTCTGTGCCCTCTATCTGGAATGCCTTCGCCTCATTCGGCCTTTAGCCTTCCTCGAATACCCGCTTTCTGAAAAGTCTTTCCCAAACTTCTGACTAGAGCCAAGTCCTTTCTCCTCTCTGCTCCTGTAGTGCCTCAATGGGATCTCTGTTACAGCACTTGCCATTGGCTGCAAAAAATTTGTATGTGTCCCATCTCCCCTGTTAAATGGTGGCCAGAGACTTTTATTTCTAGTACTTTTCACAGTGTCCTGACATACAGTAGGGGCTTAATAAGTGCTAATGAGCCTCAGCTTCCTCATTTATAAAACTAGAATGAGTGACTTCCCCAAGGCTATCCAACTAGTAGTAAGTTACAGAGTAGGAACTGACGCTGAAGTCTGTCATTCTCTTCTCCCAGAATCCTTCTATTTGGAGATCAGTTGTAGTAGTAGCACATAGACTAAAGTATGAGTGTTGGAAGTGGGAAGAGTACCTAATTTGATGAAATGGACTGCATCCATCTCCTCCCTCTTACTGGCAGATTTAAAAGCCTGTTTCCTCCCGTTCTCTCTCTGAGGTGTATGGCTGGGGTTACAATGGCAATGGTCAGCTGGGCCTGGGGAACAATGGCAATCAGCTGACCCCTGTGAGAGTGGCGGCTTTACACAGCGTTTGCGTGAATCAGGTAAGTGTGACCAACTCTTGGCAAGCTGGTCCCCATCTCCCTTCCTACTCTGACTCAAATTGGAGAAATCCCGGAGTCTTACTCTTTCAGTAAATCTTTTCGGGCAATACCCTGTGCCTTTGCCTTCCACATTTAATATGCTGTCTCACCTGAGTCCCCCTGATCAGAACAAAGACCACGGTACTGGCACAGTAGTCTTGACAAGTAAATTAAACTAATGGAAAAATCCAGTAGTGCTAAGGGTTAGGTTTTTCGAGTGCTTATTTAATGTCCCAGAGAATGGCAGTCCCCACCTGCTGAGGAAATGACCTCTGCAGAAGCTGGCTGTGTTTTTAAGTAGATGGTTTCCTGCCCTTCCTATTTCCCTGTCTATGGTAACCATTTAAATTTACTTGCAGATCGTCTGCGGCTATGCACACACTCTAGCACTAACAGATGAGGGCTTGCTGTATGCCTGGGGAGCTAACACGTATGGGCAGCTGGGAACTGGCAATAAAAATAACCTGCTAAGCCCCACACACATCATGGTGGAGAAAGAAAGGTAACTGGGATGTGACATGTTGTGGGACTGCTTGTGTGCTGTGGACGTGTGCTGGAGCTGTGATGTTTGGCTCTGTGACGCTTCTGTTGACACATTCTTATTTTGAACAAGAGTTTGAGGACCAGCCAGAATGAACATGATGTTAGTATGATTCTTAGGCATCCTTCTAAAAGAAGCAGCTGTGATTGATATTGATGCATCTTGCATAATTCCTACGAGCTTCTCATTGCCCGTTTAGTAGGGAAGTAAAATAGGGTCTATGACCATGTCAAAATTCCAAATGTAGTATGAATTTTCCTTTGAACCAACTAAAGCTTCTTTCAGGTAAATAAAATTTGCTCTTGAAAGGACATTACCTATTTAAATATTGATTTGACTTAATGTGTATTACTGGAATTGATGTTTAATGTTTGTTCAATCAAATCGTGAGGTCTTACCCACTAAGTCTTGGAGTGTTGACTTCTGATTCTGGGACCCTGCCCAAGAAGCATACTTGAGAAAATAAAAAGTAAGCTTGATTAATGTCTAGTTGGATTGAAATGCTTAGAGTCCATGACCACCTGGACCAGTGCGTATCATCTGTCTCAGCTCTTTTGAGCTCTGGTAGAGGATAAGGAAAAAAGTTGTGTTTATAAGCAAATAGTACATTGGAGACATAGTATTTTTTGTTACTGTCTAAGCAGTCTACTTCTGAAAAATTAGCCATTGAAAGCCCTATCAATTACAACAACTGATCCTGTTTTGCATGACGTTGCCATGAGTTGGAGGCCACCTTGATAGCCCCTAACAACAATAACAAGCCCCTGGAACTGTTAGGACATTTTGCCAGTGTCCACTTTCCTCAGTTATTTTGGTTTCTCTTCCCTTTTTTAAAGTTTTCCTCAACTGCATGTGTTTTTTGTCCTACCAGGATGAGGTAAGGACAAGAAGTGGGCAGTCTGGAGGGGAGAAACCCAGTGCTCTTATCCTGATCTTTTGGTTTTGTCAGTATCACTTTGCAGCTAATGTCCCTGGACCTTGGGCTGTTTTTTGAGGTGTTCCAAGCATGAACTTTTTGATTATAACGTGTGGTGTGCTGTGGGCTTCTATGGTAAAGAAGTGACATGCATTTCTCTTAAAACTTTTCAGGGTAGTAGAGATTGCAGCCTGTCACTCTGCCCACATCTCTGCTGCCAAGACCCAGGGCGGAAACGTGTACATGTGGGGCCAGTGTCGTGGCCAGTCGGTCACTCTGCCTCACCTCACCCGCTTCTCCTGCACCGATGATGTCTTTGCCTGCTTTGCCACTCCCCCCGTCACGTGGCGCCTGCTGTCTGTAGGTGAGGAAGCTCCGGACCTCTTCCACCTAGAGAGAGAATAAGGCTGTCAGGTTTTCCTGTGTGTTTGCTGGTAGTGGCTCGTTTAAGTTCTAGAATGTTTTATTCTCTATTAACTTTAATACCTTTCCCCAAGTTAGATTTGCATAATAGATTTTATTTATATATTATGAAATATTTTCATGGGTTTATTATTCCCCCCCTCCTAAGTGTTCTTGCTATACTAAATTTATTGCCTAGGTCAATATAATACTAATAAAAATGAACTTTAAAAAAAGTGAAGAACTTGTGACTTTTAAGGTGACTAGTTAACCCTGTTTTTTTTTCTCTCTCTCTTTCAACCAATCACAAGTACTTTTACTTTGGAAGGGCATCAAAAAAGAGGTATCAGAAAGGTAGCAGAATTCATGGTGATATGCAGTTTTTCTGAAGATTGTCTTCTTTGAGAGTCCATTTATTGAATGAATATGTTAGGGTATCTTAACAAGCAGTTCTTCTAAATTGTTCTTTGTGTCTCTGAGCAGAGGGTTAAGTGGGTCATGATGCCCTGTGCTTGAAAATAAATGTAGTTCTTGACAGCCACAGTGTTTGGGTTTCTCAGCAGTTGATACTGAAAGGTTGTCTCCCAGTAAATGTTGTGCTCTGGTGTGCCAGACAGCTAGAGTTGTCCCATCATCAGATGACCAGTCTTTATGACATGGGGTCATGGACGGGTTTAGGAAGAGTAAAGCTGCTGCTCAACTTAAGGTGAAACAGATTGAACATTTCCTTAAGATTCATTTTTGCCAGGTTCTTTAATTATAATCCTTTTTTTTTGCACCGTAAATATTGTGAGTGGGGCCTGCACTACCTGGTTGTGATTACCCAGATGTGGACTGCTGTGCACGTCTTTAAATCTTCGTATGCCACTTATCTGGGTCTGTTTGTAAGGGAATTCCCTAGGTTCCTGGTAATTAAAATGGCATCCTTTTCAGAACAGATGTCTAAATTTGGAATAATATGGTTACTGAATGTATCTCCTAGATAACTTCTTTCCCTTCCACCCACCTAAAGTCAGAAGTGTTTTTTGTTTTGTTTTGTTTTCTCTCAGTTTATGACCTCACCTGAGTGTTAGGAAGAAAATCATGTGATGAATTCACATCCCTGCAGAATATTTCTTCTCTGAAAGGAGGTACTATATGTGTCAGAAATATAGAGGGAGAAAGGGTTATTTTAAAATGACTAAGTGCAGAAGTTGAGGCACTGATGAGAGCTGTTTTGACGTGGGTGGGTTAGCAGTCGAGACCCCTGGACTCTTTCCCCAGTTCCCCCATCTCAGTCATTTCTTTCTTTTCTTCACTGGTGGTCCAGGCTACAGGGTCAGAGAACGCCTAACTTTTGAGAAATTTTCTGCCTCTCCTCCATAGCTAAGAGAGCTCTGGCTTGTGTGTGGCTTGTGTGAAAGCTGTAGGTTAAGGTAGTAGACCTCTGGCAAATGTTACGTCCTTGGGAGATTCTGATAGTAAAGCTCTCAGATAAGCTCATTTGTTAAGCTTCCACCCAGGTGTTAGCAGTTGCCCTGGTAACATCAGGATACTGAGAGACACAAAGTTCTTCAGACTTGGACAGCTTCGTTCTTTAAGTTTCTGTTCTCATCTTGTGGGCAGTCAAAACCTATGTCCTGTGTCCATAGCGGCTTTGCTCAGTGTCCGATGAGGATTTCTGGAATTTTTAAATTTCCCCGTTTGCCTTCTTCTCCTTATTTTCTTCTTTCATACATGTAAAGCACAAGAAAATATCCCATGAATCTGTACAAGTACCTTTTCTTCGTAATAACATGGTTCTACTTACATATTATTATAGCAGCATTCTCCTTATCAGGTAATGTGATCATGTGTTGGTGTAAAACTGTTCCCTTTGAGCACACACTCTAACTAAGTAAATTTGTCCTGTTTTTAGATAGAGTGTAAGGATTATTGTTTGTAGATTGATTTTTAGGGTTAAGAGAGATGTTTAGATTCCAGATACGCAGGAAAAAGGGTTTCTCCACTTCAGAGCATGCCTGTTAGCATTACCACTTAAGTGATGAATTTGTTTCTTGGGACTCATTGAGTTGACTATACCAACCTCTTGAAACTGCTCCAAAGCAGAGCTGAGATATTCTTTGTGTTTAATCAAGGAAAATTTATGAATTCTTAGTCCTATAGGGAACCACAAAAGGTTTTGTGTGTGTGTGCGCTTTAGGTGAAAGTTTACAGCGCAAAATAGTTTCCCACTCAAAAATGTATACACAAATTGTTTAATGACATTGGTTGTAATCCCCGCAATGTGTCAGCACTCTTCCTCTTTTCCTTATGCCCCTGTGTCCGTTTGTACAGGTTTCCTGTGCCTTCCTGCCTTCTTGTCTTTGCTTTTGGGCAGGTGTTTCCCATTTGGTCTCCTATACTTGATTGAACTAAGAAGCAAGTTCCTCATGTGTGTTTTATAGGCGTGTCTCATCTTTGGCTGGAGGCCTGGTGATGTAGTGGTTAAGCGTTGGGCTGCTAACTAAAAAGGGTCGGCAGTTCGAATCCACCAGCTGCTCCTCGGAAACCCTATGGGGCAGTTCTGCTCAGTTCCATAGGGTCACTATGAGTCGAGATCGATTCGATGGCAATGGGTTTGGTTTTGTAATCTTTGGCTGAAAGGTAGACTTTGGGACTGGCTTCACTTCTGAGTTAGCAGGGTGTCTGGGGGCCATAGTCTCGGGGGTTCCTCCAGTCTCTGTCAGACCAGTAAGTCTGCTGCTTTTTTGTGAATATGAATTTTGTTCTACATTTTTTTCCTACTCTGGGACCCTCTATTGTGATCCCTGTCAGAGCAGTTGGCGGTGGTAGCAGGGCACCATCTAGTTCTTCTGGGCTCAGGCTGGTGGAGGCTGTGGTTCATGAGGTCCATTAGTCCTTCGGACTGATAATTTCCTGTATCTTTGGTTTTCTTCATTCTCCTTTGCTCCAAATGTGATGGGACCAATACACGTATTTTAGGTGGCCGAGTGCAAGCTTTTAGGATTCCAGAAGATATTCACCAAAGTAGGACGTACAGCATTTTCTTTATGAACTATTGAACTATTGGCATAACAATTGACTTAGATGTCTTCCAAGACTATGGTCCCAGCCCTCAGTCCCAGTAACTCAGTCCCTCTACGTGTTTGGATGTGTCTAGGAAGCCTCTATGGCTTTGCCTTGGTCAAGTTGTGCTGACTTCCCCTATACTGTGTGTTGTCTTTCCTTTCACCAGTTAATGCGTGTCTACTATCTAGTTAGTGTTTTTTCCTTCCTACCTCTCCCCTCCCTCGTAACCGTCAAAGATTGTTTCTTTCTGTGTGTAAACCTCTTCTTGAGTTTTTATAATAGCGGTCTCATACAGTATTTGTCCTGTTGTGATTACTTATTTCACTCAGCTTAACGCCCCCCAGATACATCCATGTTGTGAGATGTTTCATGGATTCATCATTGTTCTTTATCATTGCATAGTATTCCATCGTGTGTATGTACCATAATTTGTTTATCCATCCGTCTGTTGATGGGCACTTAGGTTGTTTCCATCGTTTTGCTATTGTGAGTAATCCTGCAATGAACATGGGTGTACATATGTCTATTTGTGTGATGGTGTCATGGATTGAATTGTGTCCCCCCAAAAATGTGTGTATCAATTTCGCTAGGTCATGATTCCCAGTGTTGTGTAGTTGTCCTCCATTTTTTGATTGTTATTTTACATTAAAGAGGATTAGGGTGGGATTGTAACACCACCCTAACCCAGGTCACATCCCTGATCCAGTGTAAAGGGAGTTTCCCTGGGGTGTGACCTGCACCACCTTTTATATCTTGTAAGAGATAAAAGGAAAGGGAAGCAAGTGGAGAGTGGGGAACCTCATACCACCCAGAAAGCAGTTCTGGGAGCAGAGTGCGTCCTTTGGACCTGAGGTTCCTGCGCTGAGATGCTCCCAGACCAAGGGAAGACTGATGCATCACAAGGACCTTCCTCCAGAGCTGAAGGAGAGAGAAAGCCTTCTCCTGGAGCTGATGCCCTGAATTTGGACTTATAGCCTACTGGATGGTGAGAGAATAAACTTCTCGTTGTTAAAGTCATCCACTTGTGGTATTTCTGTTATAGCAGCACTAGATGACTGAGACATATATCCTATTTCTCTAAGATATAGTCCTAGGAGTGGTATTGCTGGATCATATGGTATTTCTATTTCTAGCATTTCAGGGAAGCACCATATCATTTTCCAAAGTGGTTGTACCATTTTACATTACCAACAGCAGTGCATGAGAGTTACAATCTCCCCGAAACCTCTTCCACATTTGTTGTTTTCTGGTTTTTTGATTAGTGCCAGTAATGTCGGGGTGGGATGGTGTTAGGGATTGAATTGTGTTCTCCAAAAATGTTTGTCAACTTGGCTAGGCCATGATTCCCAGTATTGTGTGGTTGTCCATCATTTTGTGATCTGATGTGATTATCCTATGTATTGTAAATCCTAACCTCGATGAAGTTAATGAGGCAGGATTAGAGGCAGTTATGTTAATGAGGCAGGATTCAGTCTGCAGAATTAGGTTGTATCTTGAGTCAGTCTCTTTTGAAATGTAAAATAGAGAATCGAGCAGAGAAGAGAGGGACCGTATGCCACCAAGAATGAAGAACCAGGAGGGGAGCACATCCTTTGAACCTGGGGTCCCTGCGCTGAGCAGCTCCTAGACCAGGGGAAGATTGATGACAAGGACCTTCCCCCAGAGCCGACAGAGAGAGAAAACCTTCCCCTGGAGCTGGCACCCTGAATTTAGACTTCTAGCCTCCTAGACTGTGAGAGAATAAATTTTTCTTTGTTGAAGCATCCACTTGTAGTATTTCTGTTGTAACAGCACTACATAATTAAGACAGATGGTATTCTCATTGTAGTTTTGATTTCCATTTCTCTAGTGACTAATGATCGTGAGCATTTCCTTATGTGTTTGTTAGCTGGCTGAATGAAGTGTCTGTTC